TGTATCGTAGTTGATTATATCACTTTCCAAGTTTGTTGTATTATCAGAGAGTGATTTAAGCATGGTTATTGCGTTGGTGTAGAAAGATTCTTTGCCTTTTTCAAATATAGTTGTTTAGACATTAGGAAGGATTGTTTAACTATTGAGTTGTCGTCTAGTTTAAAAATATGTTTAAAATAGTTTAGTATATTCTTTTTTATTGTAATCAGCAGGGGGTATTTCCCAAGTTGACTTCTGCAAGCCACGTTACTGGCTCTTCTGTTAACATCCAGATATAGCTTGCAGAATCTTAAATGAATTTTTTCAGTTTCTGAATTATCCCATTTATTCAGATCATTTTTTTCGTATGCTCCCCAGACGTCTGAGTTATATAGTAGAATTGGGGAAATTATTGAGTCGAAAATTTTTGTTGCTGTTTTTGGTGAAAGTTTATGAAAATCTAGATTTTTACGAATTTTATAAAGAGCATGGAAGGCTTTTTCGCTTAGTTGTTGTTGTGCGAGTTTAAATTTCCCATTTGGTACTAGTTTGAGACCAAGATAGGTATACTCTTTGACTATATCTATCTTTTTATCTCCAATGTGGAAATGAAGGTTTGGTAATTTCGAGTTGTGTTTTTGAAAAATCATATTTTTTGTTTTCTTGATATTGACTTCCATTAGCCATTTACTACACCATTCATTTATTTGGTTTAGACAGTTTTGTAAACCTGATTTTGACCGTGAAAGTATAATGAGATCATCCGCATAGAATAGGCTGTTGATAGTAGTTCCATTTGGTAATAGAAATGGATCTGATTGTGTTTGTTGAAACATTTTTGGAAGATCGTTTATGTAAATATTAAATAATAAAGGGCTTAGAATGCATCCTTGACGGACTCCCTTTTTGTAAGGAAAAAACGGTGTTCTGTTTTCAGATAGTTTTATTGCACATTTCGTGTTTGAGTAGAGGTCTTGAATTAAATCGTAGAAGTGTCCCCCTATGTTGTTTTTGATAAGTTGGTAAAATAAGCCTTAACAAAAACAAAAACAAAAACAACACAGTAACAAAAACAGTGGAAACCTATCTGCCGCCAATCAATTCAAAGGTAAACTTAATCTCACCTTATATCAGCGTTTCCAACGTTAATTTTAGCACGTGTTTCATAAAATTTTTGAGAATTGCATGCATTTTAAATCACTTGATCACGATCAAATATGATGTGTTCTGTATCATGCAAGTACTTAAAAATGTTGCAAGAATAGGGCTTATTTCAAGTAACTATTAACCTCTATTACTTCTAGGGAGAACGACATCAAGACGAACCAATATCTCGAATTTTTGATGGGTTTGTCGGAAGAAGCCAATATGCCATACCTGAACATAACGCTTGATGTTGGTGCAGCAATGAATGCGTATAAATTTAGATGGACTCACACAGAACAATACAGGAATGTGTGTATTCACCTTGGCATGCTCCACTTCATGAAGGAAAATTGTAAGGTATACGTAATGTATATTCTTGATTAGTATTTAAAGTGTACAATTTGATTTGAGCACTTTACCTGAAACTACTGTACGAGTTCTGTATTTTAAACATAAAGAATTCTTCCAATCTTACATTAGGTCATAGGATCACTAGTGGCTGGCTCTGGATTTGAAGACATAATTTTTCAGTCTGGTGTTTGCACGTCTGGCAGCTTGCAAGGAGTGTTGGCAGGTTCTCACTACAACCGTAGATGGACTGTTCACAATCCCTTTTCCGAGGCATTAGAACGGTTGCTACTTCAACGTTTCATAACTTTCATGTATGAGAAATCAGCAACGATTCCAGATAGTTTCTACAAGTTGATTGACCTGGACACAGTAAAGCTACAATCTAAGGTACCCTATATTTATATTTAAATGAAGTATTTAATGGTATCATAGACATATACCGCGGGACGGAGGGAACGGGGATTCAAGTATGGCGGACGAGAGACGTTAGATATTATTTAATGTAGTGTGAGAAAAGATTGATTAAATTGAACTTATATTAATGGCGACGAGGATGAAAATCGAACTCATGCAATAACTGGACATCGTAGTTAAGTACGGCATTCTTCCAAACGTAAATTAATGGGTTTTCTGACCTATTAACATTGAAAATATGTATTCTAGCGAAGCAAGTCAACAACTGTTCTTTGACCCTGACAAACACCCGGAAGATACATTGAAGGCATTTCAAGAGTTCATACAAACATTTGAATTAAGATATCAAGCTCAATACCCAGATCCACCAAAAGTGTCGTTAGATTCAGCTGTAGAGAGATGGAAAGTTGCAAATACAACCGAAAGCAACCCTCAGCCTAAACCAAC